TGTAGTACTCGCCCACGATCTTCCTTCGGTTACGAATGGAAACATCATTATGCTTTCTTTCGTTTGTCTTATAATATCGTTGTTTAGACTTAGCGGATATTTAGCGTTTGAAATTTAATTGTTCACGAATTGCTTGTACTGAGTGACGGAAGGCGGTTTATTAATTTTAGTCGATATATTTATTTAAGTACTACAGCCAAAACTTTAAATCAAAGACAGAAACTTGTATCAGATTAATTAAGTGCTTTCTGGAACATGTCTGTTTAAACCATATCGCCGCGCAGGTTTCTGACATTGGTATTAGACTTAGCCATTCGTAAAACCACAAAATTGTGTGTTGTGATAGTATGGACCACAAAATAGTGTAAGAGCAAAAGAATAAGTCCTTAACTGCTACATGCCGAAAGCCGACACGCAATCGCATTTCGAAGTAGTAGATGCAAATTATTTTCCTTAACGTATGTTAATTTTATGTTACCAATTTCGATCTCACTACTGAAAGTTTAGCCACCGCAGTGACGCGACGGGTTACGGCGCGGGAAGCCTTGCGACGGCAATGTTCGAATTTCGAATTCGATTATATCGTCGTCGGCGAAGTCACGGTGCGGGCAAAGGCAAATCAGCATACGTCCAGCGAGCGGTAATATTCGCCCGGTGAAAGTCCCGACATCACGACTTCTCATACATTAAGACCGACTGACCGTGTGAATGCGTAACCGCGGACGCGATGTAGTCTAATTTTATTAAAGAAAAAACTGACTAAACCATCAAATCTCTCGTCCGGTAGCGTCGCAAAACATATTTCCGTCTGGCGATACCGAATTATCTTTTTACATCTTTATCGACGTCACATATTTTCAATTGTAATTATCGACACTATGGTGTGGTTAAAAAGTTGTGCTGGTAAGTTCAACTCGTGTTCGTTCGCGTAAAATGTTAAGACTCGTGATCCGAGGTTGCGCGTTCGAAGCCCAGTGGTGTACACCGATAGGTTTTTTGGTTTTTGAGTCCAAGTGGACCCGTTTCACCATGCGACCTCTGTGAAAATCCAAACGCCATTAAATACCTCTTACCATCGTGTTAGGGTTAAATACGTGAGCATTGATCTTAACTCGTCTTCCGGCAGGTAACTGATGCGTTGTGCCCGTTAAATTTCTTCAAGCACTAAAACCGCTGCCATCTTGATTTCGTCGATTATAAAATGTACACGCATATAGCCACGGTGTTCGAAAAAGCGCTACGTTCAAACGGGGCCGCGCGCGGCGCCGCTGTTGATTTTTTCGAAAAACGAACGCGTTTAGTTTTCTGTGAAATTTGGCGCCAGATCGGTATCTGCTCTCGGTCTCGGGCGGGGCTTATCTCGCGCTGAGATCGACACCTCGACGGGCCGGCCGCACCGCCGGCACCTTTGACTTCCCCTGTTTTAACACGTCAACGTGAAACGTCGTAATGAGCGCCGGCCCTCAAATTTTCGACTTCACACAACCGAATCCTAATTCACAACGCGCTGATTGTAGCACGAACCCTGGCTGTGCCCCAAAAAACTCGCTTCTGAACCAACAAAACGTTCGGCCTATTGTGCCATAGGCATATTTTTTAATAATCCACAGCGGATTGCCTATGTATTCATTCTACTGCACAAATAAAATTATAAGATATTTCGTTATATCGGAAAAAGTATGTATTTTGAAAAGTCTACATCTAAGCTCTATATATACAATATATTGATTCCATTACTCTTGAAATAAGTTCTTATAATGGTATTTCTGTACACAAAATAAACTCTACACAAAGCGGCGACGTAATTAAACCCTGATCGCGCGTAGGCGGAGCCGCGGGATCTCTACCATCCTTTAAAAAAAACACCTGTAGTGTGAGAAGATGAGAAGTGACCTCTTGGACGCCTTCGCTTGCTTGCTCCTTTCACGTGTCGATGGTTGTTACAAAATGTGCTTTATGTTAAAAGCATAAGATTGATTTTGCACCGTATAATAGCGGTAGCGGTATATAGTTGGAACGCCTCCGCGGCGCCGCGAACGCCCGATTATGGGCCATAAACCAATTCCGGTAGCACAACTATTGCCGACATACGATAATCAATATTAATTGGCCGCTTGCACTTTTGATTTTACATAAAAATGTGGGTTTAGACTATAGATCAAAATGTTATAAAATATTACTGATAAAAACTTTTCATATGGATTACTGTCCGTTCATAGGAGCAATAATTTAAGAAATTCTACGAATTTAAGTTATTGTCGATGAATTGCTATTATATATTGCTCTTAACTCTCGTTTTTCGTATAAAAATTCAGATTTTTAATAATATAATAAATTATAGATGAATAACAAGCAGCATATATGTGCAACACCGCAGTTCTGAAACCTAATTACAAAACGACTCCAATTCAAAAATGCCGCCGAAAATCTACCACTGTTATAATATTTACAATTAATTTATCAATAAGTAAATTAAAAGAACACATGACGCATAGGTAATTTACAAAACGTTACATAATTTTGATAAGAACGCAACAAGTTTAAAACACGTACCACGGAATGCGGACAATAATTTCATATAGAGGTTAAAATTAAATAAATAATCAGGGACGCGGTCGACCATATGGGCGCAAACCAGTTTTGTTTATGGTTGGCACCGATGCAGGTGTTATGCTATACGAGCTGTCTTGGTAAGGGTCGCGTCATTGCTAGTTGGGTCGAGGCTCGTTTAAAATCTGTGCGTGAATCCCTTAATTAAAATATGGAGCTGTTTTATACTGCTCGAGTACTAACATGATTATTTTAATACGATTTGAAAATCGTAGTTCGACGTTCTACGTCAGAGATGGCGCTTATATCAAAACGAACGATGCTCGTTCATCATTAGTGTTCTAAATGCACCGATTCGTTGCAATCTACGCATTGGGTGATCTAAAAATAATGTTATGCAATTATATGGGCGAACAGTCACCATGCAGGCACGTCGTCCGCCGATCGTGAACCGACAACCGTCGGGCGCCGGCGCCAAGCGGCGAGTTTCGTTTTCCCATGGCGTTAGGAAAAAAAAACACGGTTCTCGCATCCTTGTTCGCTGTTAATTATATTTAAATATACCGAGCGTATATAAACAAGTGGAATTTGTGCGCTCTTTATTATTTCGAATGTCGTATTCTTAACTGGCTTTAATTTCATATTAGGAAATACTTTTTGCGAGTATGTAATGCGTCGAATGTGTATATTGAATAACAAAATATAGGTACTAATCTGTAAATCAATTATATTTTTAATCTGTAGAATGCAACGTCAAAACCTTGAAATGTATTTTTTTCTTACTGGAATGAAGTGGCAGAAACAAGCGGCGCATACTGGCCGCTTGTCTTATTGCCTGTGATCCGGAATAGCTATTTACTTGCACCGAAACGTCCATTGTCTGCATTCGTGTGTGAAAAGATATGTGGGGCCATAAAGTATGGCTCATAAATCCCTCATATAATTGATTAATTAAACTTTAGATTTAGATTTCTTTCATTTTATGAAAAGTATTTAATTTGTTCTCTTAAATATCCTTCCTAATATTATAAAGGCGAAAGTTTGTTTGTATGGATGGATGTCTGTTACTTTTTCACGCAAATTTGAATGGAATTTGATGAAACTTTATAATAATATAGCTTATACATGAGAATAAGACATAGGCTATAATTTATATACATATTTTATGTATATCTGTCCTTCTATCTGAATGTTACGCATTCAGCCTATTCTACGTAGACGTAGTCGTGGGTAGCAGTTAGTATTGCAATATATGACATTTTAAGAGTGAGCGTATCAAATAATTTTAACGAGAGCCCGCAAAGCCAAAGCAAAATTTAGAACTACAAAATATAATTGAACTATTAATAGAGTTTAACTCAAACTCGCTTGTTAGTTTACTCCCGCACGCCGGTTTCCGCGCCACACAGCCGTAGGATTTGTACGCGGGCCGTGTCCCGGACTCTATAACGAGCCGGCGTCGTTTGTGTCTTTCATCTGCAGTCCATCGCAAGCGCCTATCTCAGTTAAATCTCTAATGGGAGCGGGTGCCAAACCGCCTGCCTCAGTTATTTTGTTTAAAGGCACGAGCAGTGATACCACCCCATGCCCATGACATCTACAATAAGCGTGTGTACAATTTCAGCCTTTATGGAGAGCTGGTTTCTGTATTTTTAATACTATGAAACTTTGTCACCATATTATAATTATACCCTTCTGTTATAGAGTTTTTAAGCTTGTTTACGTTTTTTTACGTAAACAAGCTTAAAAACGTTACGTTTATTTCTATTAATGAATGATTTGAAATAGAAAATTTGGAGCGTTAATTTATAAAACTGCCGTAATAACCGTCTAAATGTGCGCTTTTTCGAATTGGAAATTGGTAAAGTGCGCTTCCGTACGTAACCTGCGCTAAAGGAAACAGTATCGACTTTCTTAAAACGAGTCAACCAACAGCTTCGATATAATATCTATAATGAATAAAGATACCTAATTATATAATATGTGCAATAATTTCTTAGTAGCAATTAACCATATTGAGTAGTCTCTTACTTCCTTGTTACCTAATTTAATTCATTTTTAATTATGTATAACTACTAAGTTTATTACTTTTCTTTTTATTGTTTAACGCTTCTCTTCCGAACACATAATTCTAAACCAAATTCTCTAATTGTGAAAACTTTTAATTGGCCTTTAATTTTGTTAAATTTGATCAAACAATGACTATTCTAGCTGTAAGTTTTCCAAAAATATCTAAAAAAAAAAAAATAAAAAAAAAATTGAATAACATTAATTTTGAATAACAAAGTAAAGACTTAAAAAAATGGACGAACGGGAAAAATTATTTAACAAAAATAATTAAACAACATAGTCAATACATAATTCAAATAGAAAACATAATTTTAATGTAATAACATGATTGAACAATCCACAACCGAAACTCGACTCACGAATCCGTCGCATTGTTGCAGAACGCTTGGAGCGCGACGCTGGCTTCGTGTCCGGGGGGGATGACGACGACTCGTGCTCCGGGCCGGCGCACTCCGACGACTCCGGGGTGAGGCTGGTCGACAGCGAGTCCAGGGTCAAGCGGGAGAGGACCCCCGGCCGCTCGCAGCCGCCCAAGAAGCGCATCCGCCTCGGCAGCAGGGAGCTAGCGAGCCCCGGCAGCGACTCGAACCCCTTCAGGCCGTGGTCCTTCGCCGAGGAGCCGCAGAACGAGCCGCTGTCGCTCGTCAAGAAGCGCGGGGAGGCGCGCCAGAGGCAGAGGCAGTCGCCCGAGAGGCCCGAGAGGCCGGAGCCCCGGGTGCCGCCCCACCCGGCGGTGGTCGACTACGCGGACAAGGGCAAGCCGCGCGAGCAACGGAACTACAAGAACATGACGCGCGAGAGGCGGATAGAGGCGAACGCGCGCGAGAGGACGCGCGTGCACACGATCAGCGCCGCCTTCGACACCCTCAGGAGGGCGGTGCCCGCGTACAGCCACAACCAGAAACTGTCGAAGCTCTCCGTGCTGCGGATAGCGTGCGCGTACATCTCCGCGCTGTCGGCGGCCATCGAGCCGGACGGCGACCTGCCCGCAGCAGTGATGAGCGTCACGCAGACAATACACACCGAGGGTAAGCTGAGGAAGAAGAAGGACGACCCCTGAACGCGCGGCGGAGCGTGAAGCCTTTACAATGCCGTCCTGAAAGCCTTCTGTCGACAAGGGGGGAACGGGGAAAAGTAGGGCTGAGCCAGTCAATCCTCAACCCTTCCGCTATCTGCTGCATCGGTCTATGGAATGCAACAGAAGTTTAATAATCCCCGACCTTGTCGCATGGTATCGCCATCCTTTCCACTGTTAGTACAAAAACGACAATAATATTGGATGTTGATTGTTTAATGTTTATACGAATTGCTTAGTCGTTTTTGCGATTTAGTGAAGTTAACTGATTAGGCTGAAAGCGTTGGTGAGCTTTATGTACTGAATCTCTTATATGCTGATAGTGTTTGGCCAGAGGGTACAAATACGCTGTTCCTCCGTAACTCGAACGGTTCTCGGGCCATTTTAACTGCTAATGTAGACGAATTTCTTATTCTAGAAGAAACAAAATGGTTCCCATATTATTATACTCTGTCATAAATATGCGCATTATCCAAATTCATTAGGAAATATCTACAAACTGTGTTACATTTTATCAAAGCAAGTATGTATTTATGTTTTGTATTTTAAGAAAATATATATACATATTTACTTAACAATATTGTAACATTCCTAAAGGCATAGCTTACTGTTACAAGATTAGATGACTTATTTTTCATCAGCGTTTACAGGTCTTTGGACCGAACTAACCGGGAACCGGGAGTATAAGTAACCATAATGTTAACCATTCCCCTAGCCCAGTATTAAAGTAAGACGACAAAACTCGGTATATCTCATTTGTAAGAAATGATATATTTGGCTTTAATATTATATATTTATTGAAAATCGAGTCAGTAATTTTAAGTGAGAACTGTATATTTTATCTAGTAATGTATTGTAATTTGTAAATAATACATGTACATTGTAGGATAGTTTATGTTATAAAATCCTATAACACCCGGAGGCAGTTAAGAAAACATTATTTACAGGAAGCATAAGTATAGCGATTTTAACATTTAGCGCATAATATTTAAATGTTTAAATGACAGACAGATTATTAAAAAATATTACACTGCAAATTAAATTTTACTTGCTATAAAATTTGTTCAATATAATTTTTATTGTCATGACATTTTTGTCTATTTTTATATTTAAAAAAGACTTGCACGTTTACTGTTGCCCTTTATAAATTTTATGCTTATAACGCGCATGAATGTTGACCACAGACTATGTAATAAATCCGTAAGGCCTTATACCTAAGGTTGTCATTCGCCATGCGATGAATATTAAAATAAGCCGCGTTCAATACGAGATTAAAATAACTAGAAAACTTATTAAACCTGTATAATGTTATTATATTATTGCGTATGTTCCGTCATAAGTAGCCCATAATGCCTCGAGAATGGATTGTGATATAGTTTACTGTAAATAAATGATTGTAATTAAGAATTAATATTATGACATCACCATTGTTGAGTTGAAAATGAGTAGTATAAAAGAGACAGTTTGCCACTATTGTTAAACGAGAGTAAAACGTTTTATTTTGCTTTGTCTTAATATATTGAGAGAGTGGAGACCATCATGGGGGACTTTAATGGAAAAGAAAGATGCACTTAAGGAGAAATGTAATGTGTTTTTTGATTGTGTAATGTTTAAAAACTATTTATGCAGAATCAAACAGAGATGAAAGTAATAAATGAAGGAAGTACACGACTTTTCTGTTTTATTTTTACTTGTTCTGTATTCCATTTTTGAGAGCAAAGACAAATTTGATACCTATCCACCTTACTCTTTGAAAATTAAACCTACCTTAAAAAAACGTGATGCTAAAAAGAAAAGTTTCAGCAACTCAACAAAACCTTTTTTTAAATATATATATGAAATACGGATGCCGGAAAAGCAGCATGTTTCAATTCATAGGAGCCATGTAGGAAGTATAGGGGACCCATCTGTTTGCAACAATGGGGTTCTGATCCGCACAGCTGCTAGGTGATAAGGCGCCACGTGCCTCTGTTCCAATATTTGCCTTGGGCTATCAGTTACGCTGGGAAAGAGGGAGTGTCTAATGATTTGCAAAGCCAAACATAGTATTTCTTTTATGAAGGCGACAACAGAAACATATATGAACAATATATTTCAACACAAGCTCGAGCAAGATTTAATTGAAAATTTTAATTTTAATTAAAATTAAAATTTTTTAATTAGTAATGTTTAGTTAAATTAAAAAAAAACGCTTTTTGGATCTCTCCTTCACTGCAGACTGTTTCCGTGCCACATGTCCTTTGCGTAAAAGATGATTCAAATCACGTTTACTATGTTTTTCTTCTAATTACTATGCTTAAAAACGTTTGCGAGAAATATTAATTTTAGTGTCTTTATTTCCGTTACATAGTAATGTATATTTGTGCACCTATCATATAATAAGTCATACAGTTATTGCATTAAAAGATGCTTTGAAGGTCCATAACTCCCTTATGTTAGTTTCACCCATAAGTACCTATATATGAATCAACGAACAACATTAAACTGGTATGTATGTATGAATGCAACAGGTCTATACATTTACCGTAGATGTCTTACTTTAGCATACTCTATAAAAGCTAAGTACAAAAGCTAATTAAGTTTCGCTGTTATGGGTAATGACATTAAGCATCGACATCAATACCTGCCCTTGCACCTGTCCTTCGTATACTATTTCGTAAAAGAGACTGCACTATTTCAGTCAGCTTTTAAATAATTATGTCATACCAAATAACATTTTTAAATAACCCAAACGATGCGATGATAATAACACAAAATATTTGGATCTGAAAATACAGTGAGTTATTTATCAATTTAATTATGTAAGGTAACCTATATGTGGTATTTAGGGATAAAAAACCAGCCAAGTGCGAGTCGAACTCGCGCACGAAGGGTTCCGTACCATTATCTATAAAAAAGGTAAAAGCATTTCTGTTGTATGCGAGCCCCACTTAAATATTTTCTTATTCTGTTTTTTTAAGCATTTGTTGCTAGAATTACATAATCTGTGAAAAATTCAACTGTATATCACGGTTCACGAGATACAGCCTGGTTACAGACTGACAGACAGACAGCGGTCTTAGTAATAGGGTCCCGTTTTACCCTTTGGGTATGGGTAAAATGGTACATATGTTATGTAGGGGTAAAACAAGTGAATTTAAGCAGGTTGCGATCGTTTCCTACCCTTAACGATCAAGAACTACGCTCCTAGTGTAGTTGTGTGAAGTGTTGTCAATTCTATTGCAGATTCGAGCTAATAAAACACTAAAAAAATTAACCCTAAAAGGCGGCTATTACAACATACGACGTGTCGGCCGGCAGTTGTCGAGCAGTTGCCGACAAACAGTTACCCTTTATTAGCGGCTCCGATACGTCCTGACAGCTGGTGTCACAAATGTCCAATAATCGTTACAAATTCGCCCAATCGACCCTCGTACCTCGTACGTAACGCGAGGGTTAGGCACATCTTGCCAACTGCAATGTGCCTACACTAAAACCAATTACCAGGCGTTACCGCTACACGTCATTCGGCTGTTTGTCTATTTTCAAACGTATTGACTATCTTCATTCTTTATGTATATAATTCTACTGTACGTGTGTTGTCACTCAATTCCTCCTAAACGGTTGGACCGATTTGAATGATTTTTATTGTACGCGTGTGGGTGGCGCCCCGGATGGTTTAAATTCACAATTCGTTTCTTTTTTATTTATAAGTTGTTGTCGGATTTAAGTCGTGTGTACAGGATTACGTCTGCCCGGTCCGCTAGTAATAATATAAAAAGATAAAGCGCGTTTGTTCCTCTGAAATCTATAGTTTATGATCCATTTTTTCCTAATGAACCAAAGTTACGTCATCAGTGAATAAAGTAGGTTTATTTACTAATTTATTTATTTGAATAGATACTTTTCCGTCTTAAAAATAAATCCAAGCATAAAGTATTTGACCTTTGTTATGGAAACGAAATTTACCATACATCATTTACAAGAAATATGAAAATATTTTGTTAGTTGGACCAACGATGTTTAAGAATATAGATGACACATATCCACACTGCGTGGCTTTAAAAAAATTGCTCCGCTTTACGTTACATGGCATATATAAGTGAATGTGACAGATGATATAGAACGTATGATACGGAAAGAGATAACAGTCTATAGAATTGCAATTTAAATACATCAATTGGTGTAATTTGAACGCTTCGGTTTCGGTGCGCTAGTGGCATATTTACATTATTGATTTTTTTTTCTTTTATTGAATTAGATTAGACTATAAACCTAGATAAGTGGTTGCAAGTCAAAGAAATAATTCTGGTGTTTTTACTTAAGAATTATTATGTTTTTAAATTAATGGACGATTTATAGTTCTTTTCCATTATGAAAAGTTGAGACTGTAGTACTATTTCTCTCTACCAAATCCGTGATTGTTACGTAAAGGAAATAACCTAAACGTGACGAAGTGCATACACGGGTCATTTTTATATTGCGGTTCTTTCCTATAGAGCCATATTTGGCCGGCCCATTGCAACTTTGTTTTACGGACATCTTCGGATATATTCATTGCGAACTGTGTCACGCAGACAAATGGCGAGTATAGCCCGCTCCGTAGCTTTTGAGCTGCCTCATATGACCAGCTTTGAAGGATCATGTCTCAGTTTCGTAAGTCATCACTCATCACTGCCAGCACAATTGAAATCGGTTGAAGACTTGTGTCTACAAACATTGACATATATTGGACCAGAAGCTATGCCGAATTTTTTCGAATGCACTTCATTTGGACTTATCTTATTACTTGACGGACTACCAGTCCTAGGTAAAAATACTCGTCAACAATTTCGACCACAGTGCTTTTAACGGCAACCGGTATAGGCGTGTACTGAGTTTTGGAGCAATATATGGCTCTTGAAACATCCACGTACATTGCCCTCACCTCATTATTGGGGTACATCGAATTTGGTTCGTAGACCTTTATGACCTACAGCGAATATAATTTGGATATTATGAGTATAAAATATGCAACCCTCGATGACTCATCCTCGATTTTGATAACGTTGCTAATCAGAGACTAGTGGACAATTAGGCGCCCTTCCGGTGGTAAAATAGATTGGCGGATTCGAGTATTATCGTGTCCTCCAACTGTCTTTGGACTTTAGATAATCCTATTATATCTTAACACATCCTGTTCACTTCATCTTCCAGCTCTGTTATCCTCTCCTCGGTTCTAAATGTTATTGAGTTGTATACTGCCAGGTCCAGGTCACTATCGTTGGTGGCAGAATCCCAGACGGAACTTCTTAGCACCATCTGCTCCACAATTAGCATGACTGCTACCGCAGCCAAGAATAGCAGGCCCGCCGGGGACTGGGGGCTTCACAAAGTTAGGGGTTTTGACATAGTTGCTACGCCTGGCGAGCGGGTTGGCAACCGCAGTTTTTTCCAGACTCTGCATCTTAAACGCTACCGCAGCCTGTCTTAGGCCTGAGTATTTAGGGTCTGGAAAGTGGAGATAGTTATCCCGCCCGCCATCTATCGAAGGCCATTAGATTTTGTGGTTTATCTATTAGTTGTATATCACGATTCACGACACCCACAGAATGAGATGCATGAGATGAGGTAGCTTATTCTTACGCCCTTTGCGTATTTTGCAATCTTAGTTTGGCTCCAATTGATGATTGAAACACTAAATATTTTTTTAATTTTAAAAGACTATTACAATAATTAGGTACAAGTTGAATCCGAAGAATTAAGCAATTTTTGGACTGAACTTTGCTTCCAATAGTGGCATCTACTTTTTAACTAAAGCAGTACAATATTGAAGTATTAAGTGATTAGAATGTATGTCAGTGCCATCTCGTATCGTAAAGAGAATTTACTTTTAAAAAAAAACCTAGTCTTTTCTTCTTCAACTATTTCCCACTAGATAGCTCTGTGATTAATTGTAAGTAAACAATTACCTACATGTAATAATAATTTATTGTATTTCTAGTTTTGTTAAAATAATATCAGAATAAAATTTTAAATAAATAATTGTATCATAACTTCGTAAGCTGATAACTATTTTGTCTCTGACCTTTTTCTAAATAATTTTGGAGGGAAAATATGCTGTCATATTGCAACGATTGTCATACTCATGGCGTTAATTGCTACGATAAACATAATAAGACAGCAATAAATTCATTTGATTTTAAAGTGGCAGGTAAATCAGGTTTGTATTATGCCAATTTTTAATGTAATATTAAAACTTATAATATGGTGTATAATGTATATTCAGAATTTGAGTAGTTACATTTCAATCAATCTTTGAACAGTTTTTTCATTTCGTTCAATGGCTGTTAGCAAATACCGGAAATAATTGTATTTTAGAATTTTTCTAAAAATGATATAATTCAAAATTCAATAAATAAAAAGAACACTGCATATAGGCACTAACTTACTAGCTACATCTTTACATTAATCAAACTGTGATGGTAGGAACAGGAAAACAGGTATATTTCATTGATACATTTACTGATATTAACAAATAATTATGCAGTCCATTTGAGGCATCTTGTGTCTAGGTGAGTGCCTAAGCATTTGACACTGCAATATCTTGCTCCACAAGGTATACAGGTATAATTTGACGGAAATCCACACACAGCACAAAAATGGCGATCGGGAAATCTGAAACAAATAACATTCAATGTTAAGTATGGTAGTTACAAGTCCTTTACAAAAAGGTTTTTGTAATTCAGAAAATATTTTGTAATAAGATATAAAATCTGCCTTTCCCAGCTTTGTTTGCTATAAACCATTTTTAAATAAAGGAAAACATTAAATAATTATTACTTTGATGGTGGTGCTTGAGCAGACAAATAGTTTGGAGGTTCTGGTCTAAAGCTTGCATCTTCTTCCACAAGCTGCGCAAAAGTTTTCCGGAATCTCATTTTATAGTATTCAGCACTTTTTGATTTCTTTTTCCTTGTTGGTTTTTCATTTGAGTCTGCAAATTTTGGTACTTTCTTTGACATAACTAAGTCTGCATGTGGATCTTCATGGAAATTATCCTGTTCAAGAGCTTCAATGGCCTTTCGGGCCCTTCTTTTTCTAGCAGCATCATCTAGTATTCTTCGTTTATCTGCTTCTTTAACTCTACCAGATTCTCTTGATGCCATTATTAGGATTTACAGTCCCTTTTCGTGTACTGGAATACTTAGTTGGTCCATTAAATCATCCACACGGGCTTGTAGTGTGTCTACTATATCAGATGATATGAAAAGATGCGTTTCGTCAAGGTCTTGTAGAATAAATTTCCTACCAAGTGCAAGTGTTTCATCCAGGTGGAGCAGGAATTGTTTCATAGCTGGGTCACTGTAAAAAAAAAAAATGTCAAAGAAAAGAGGATTAAGTGTGGATGAGAAAAAGACAAGAATGCTTGAAATTTTCCATCAAAGCAAAGATTTCTTTCAGTTAAAGGTAACTTATTTATCTATTGGGATATATCTAAATGGGATTAAAAAAACTACACCAACAAAAATTAAATTATTTTGGCTTATACAGCATGTCTTTACAATCGCGACAATAAATGAACACACATATAGAGGATAACTTTTTAAAATTGTATTCATTCTTTAAACAGTAATATTTACCGAGTTATTAAATTTTCCAAAACAAAGAATTTTAGAACACCCTTACGTATAAAACTGTAACGTGAGGATCATTTGTAAAAGTCACAAAGCATATGAATGGATTGAATGAATTTAAAAGAGACAGAACATACTGTTAGAAGGAGAGGCATGTAATGCACTGTGGCAATGAACGAAAGTCTCTGAATGTATGAATCAGTCAGTTGTAGTTGTATATCCCATACAAATTTTGTTTCTTTTTTACTAAATTAGTTTGTTTGAAAAAAAATTTTGTTATTATGGGTTTTTTTAATGTTAATATTTTTTTATGATTATTGGCAAGTAGTGTTAGACGTGTGTTCATTTATTGTCGCTGTGGTAACGACACGCCGTATTCAGATTCTAGTAATTTAAATTAAAAAACATTCTAATTTTACATGATAATTTTAATATTAAAAAACAAACACATTTAAATCACACTGATAATTATTTAGGAGTTAGAAAAGATTGCTCCAAAAGAAAAAGGTATAACAATGCAGTCTGTTAAAGAGGTTTTACAAAGTTTAGTAGATGATCATCTTGTGGACTCTGAAAAAATTGGCACCTCTATTTACTTTTGGTCATTTCCAAGGTACATTATTTTCTTTTGTATAAATAACCTTTAATTTTTACAAAGAAATGACCAATTTATTTGAAAAGATACAACCTTATTAAAATTGTAATAACTCTTGTGCAAAGTCTTTGCCTTGGTCAAAACCTAGGTTGGTCAAAACATATTAGATTTCTTGAAACATTTTAGATGATAACATACCAAAGTTTTAAGTATCTTAAAAATTACAGCAAGGTTAAAAACGCTAAAAAAAGAAAGCTACAAGATCTGCAAAATGAAGTAGAGGAGTGTACTAAAAAGTTGAAAAAAGTAGAAGATACCATTTCATTAGAATCTGTAAGTAGTTTACAGAGTATTAAATACATATGTATGTACATTACAGAAGTCTTACAAAAGTTTACACAGAAGTTTATAAGTAATAGTATTTATAATTTTGCATTTTCTTCAGTAAATAAGGTTATTGGTAGTCCACTCTTTGTCGCTGACAACTTGCCAGCTGGTCACAGTCCTCTCCCTTTGCCACTATTAGCATATCATCATGCTCAGATGTGTATAAATATATAAGCCATCTATACTTTTTTTAAGAATTGGACACTAATATTATTCGATTTTAGAAATAAAGATAATTTTGTTTATATCCATACATTTTCTTTAAGGTGGGTAGAGAATTAAGTGATGAAAGAAAGAAGGCACTAGAATGTTTAGAGAAACATACAAAGATTGAGGAAGAGCTAAAAAAAGAGTTACAGAAATACAGAGACTGTGACCCTGAGTACATTGCTCAGTTAAAATCTGAGACAGAGGTAATTTTGTTATGTGAAACATGTCATTACATTTATGCCATTTTTGGTAGTATTAAATGTGTGAAGATATTCAAATAAAGTGAGTTTTAAAGAGTTGGAATAAAAGACATAACTGACATTCAACGGTTGGCTGTCATGCCCACACAATCTTGTCAACAAAATGACCATGATGGAAAGTTAAATGATTATTTTTTTAAAATATTAAGCTGGGAGTTATTTGCCTCAAGTAATTGTCATAAATCATTTACAACGACTACTGAAAGTTTGTTCTTAGTAAGTAATGGTGTATAGTGTAAGGTAGTCTAGATTATTAATATTTTCAATCTATTATTATTTGACAGGAATTAAAAACTGCCATTAATAGATGGACAGAGAACATTTATATACTTAAGTCATACATTAAGAACACCTTCCAAATGGAAAACGACGTGATTGAGCAGAACTTCAACATTCCACAAGATTTGGATTATATTGAAACATGAAATTACTATTTTTTTAAGATATACATACAAGCAATGCTGTTAATATTGTTTCCTGTTTTTAATGAGTCTTGAATTAAAAAAGTTTATTGCGTACGTAAAGATCAGTACGATTTTTACTAGGTTATGTGTGTTGAAGTTTCTGGAATTCAACAAACAAAAAATTACATATAGTGATCTGGACATGTAGATTTTTAAAGGTCGTGCGCTGTGCTGTGTTAGTATGTTTAGAAAATAAAATATAATCGTAGCTATATCAATACCTACCACTCGACGAGGACTCCTTTCATAACATTCACCATGGTTCATAATTGGCTTGTATTTTATGGAGCGCAAAATATATTACCGGATTTTAGTAATTTTATATTGTTTTAACTTTATTCCCTATACTTAAAAATTTGTTTACTTTGCTTTGGATCTTTTCAAACACTAGATAACATAGACTGCAGAGTGCAGAGTAAAAATACAATACAAATACAAATACAAATTACAAACAAACCATAGATTTATCTATGGTTTGTTTTCAGCAGTGGCGCCATCTCTAAAAATTAATTTATGCTAAATGTTCAATAAAAAAATGCCAGAAAAAGCCCGAAATTTTAGGATAATGCTAAAAAAATAATGCCAAACAGAAAGACAAAATCAAATACAAATACAATCCCCAATACCCCAAATACGCTTAAATAATTTTATATCAATGATGTTTTAATAAAGATTGCGCATGTCCATACTGCGCGAGGTTTAAAAATTGTTTCGTTTTACATTATATGATATAAGTGAATGTGACATGATATAGAACCTAAGATACGGAAAGAGATAGCTGTGTTCAAAATTGCAGTATAAGAAGGAAAAGTTTGAGTTTAATATTAAATAACGAACCCATTAATCCAGTTGAGTCTGCTGTATTTCTGGGAATTACAGTAGATTCAAAGCTCCAGTGGAGTTCCCATATATATTCTCTCGCGAATAGGCTAAGCTCCGCTGTTTTTGCGATTAGAAGGGTTAGGCAGCTAACAGACATCGACAGTGCCAGACTTGTTTACTTCAGTTATTTTCACAGAATCTTGTCATACGGCATTTTGTTGTGGGGTAGTGCATCAGATATAAATTCTATATTTATTCTTCAAAAAAGAGCTGTCTGAGCAATCTACAATATCGGAGCCCGGAGTTCGCTCAGAGATCTTTTCAAAGTGGTTATTATACTCACTGTTGCTTCTCAATACATTTATTGTAGTATTTTGTATATACGTCATAAGCTTCATTATTAAGGAATAGTGACAGACATAAAATAAACACTATCCTAAATAAACACTATCCTAAGGAATAGTGACAGACATAAAATAAACACTAGAAATAAGGACAAACTTACTACGCCACTGTTTCGTTTACAAAAAGTAAATAAGTCGTTCATGGGGCAAAGTGTGCGCATGTATAATAAAATTCCACAGTCGATATTAAGTCTGCCGCTTGACCAATTTAACCGTAAAATTAAAAGTCAACTTATTGTTAAAGCATATTATACCATTACGGAATATCTCGACGACGCCAATGTGTGGAGTTAATATTGTTGATACTCACGTAGGCTAGAATAAGACTTTTATACCTGTATGTTATATTGTAAATTGATACTTTTGAAAAAGAGCAACTGTTGAGTTTCTTGCCGGTCTCTTCTCAACAGAAACTGCTTTCCGAACCGGTGGTACCTTACGAACCTTATACATACATTTGCGCGCAAGCGTCTATTTGAATAAATATATTTTTGATTTGCAATCTATTTACAGCAATTGGTGTTATTTGAAGTGCGCTAGTGTCATATATTTTACCTTTTTATATTTTATCCTCTGTGTATATGGTTTTATACTGTAAGTTTGGTAATTTACCCGTAAGATATTTTTTTGTAAATGTTGTTTTGTGAAAATAAATGTCTTATATTTAATAACTTTGCTCACTCAGCAGTCAGTTTGCAAAAAGCATTATTTTGGCAGAAATAAGCCGTGTTATGTTATTTATCATATAGTTACTTTCAAATTGTATTAAAATTACGCTACATCACAAAATTGGCTTCTTCGGTTTCTGTTCCACAGTTTAATACCTTAGTATTGTTTTATGAAATTATATTTAATCACTACTTAGTTTTTTTACAAACTGGAAATATTGAATAGCTTGAATATAATGGAATATAAACGGAAATATTGAATAGCTAATTATAAATTCTGATGCTTTATAAAAACAGTATTACCTAATTACAAGTAGTTCTTTTAGAAATTGGTGATATTTATCGACGATTACATGGTTATTTATTGAAATGTAATGGTTACGCTAAAGTATGATGATTTGTCACTATGTCGACGTTTCATACGTTTCATTCGGTTTCTACAAGTTTTTGTTTTTATTATTAATAAGTCTTATCTACATTGCATTTGACGGATGCTAATGTTTTCTTCGGTGTCTTGTAAGATATATGAATAGAAACAACTTGTTTCAACAAGGTTTCATCATTATCAGGGGCGTTATCGAAAATGCTTTTAAAAGTGTAAGCGTGTTACAAACATCTAATTATAATAAATAACTATTTTCATTAACCATAAGTACTTATAAACATTGCATGAACAAAATTGTGAAAAATTATTATTATTAATTGTCCGTTCCAAATACAGGGAGAATATTCAGGAGGTTGCATCCTTTCAATTAATAAATATATATTTAATTTACACCAAATACATGCTTAAGTACATAATACAAAATATTGTAAAATGTATGTACAATAGGCGGTCTTTTTATGTGAATAGTTGTCTACAAAAAAGATAATTTTTAATTACAATACATGAAAGGTTGCAGATGCTTAAAGTACCAGACGAAACACGAAAGTATAATAATTCTGAAAGTACTTCACACTAGTCTTCTTTGAGATTGTGGCACTTCATTCATGCATCACACATGCAGTACATTACGGCAGCGTGATCCTACCGCAGAAATGTTCTTAATTTAACTCCAGATTGTAATTGGAATTATATAAATTAAAAAATAAAGAAAAGGGAATGGAAAATGTCATTCGAATATGACAGTAAATTTCGCCGCAAAAAAAAATTTTATAATAGCTCGGTCGGTAATCGGGCGGCCCCAAAACAGACGGTCGCGGTTCGTATCACGATCATTTACACACTTATTTTTCTATAGCAGATCATTTTCTTTATGTTTTTTTTTATTTCCAAAATACATGATTTACCGAAAAAAAAAACCTGCAGGTACTTTTATTTTAAAGAAAAAATACTGTACGTATCTAATGGTTTTTTTGATTTTGATTTTTATTTTTGATACACAATGGCATTCAACAAACTTTTAATTCGATAAACCTGAAATCGTCGAAGTGTAACATCTATTCCTTCATCGAACTATTAAATACTAATTCTAGTAAGCGTTACATTTACGAATATAGCGAATTAGATAATTTCAATATATAAAAATAAAATAATATTATATTTCTTATAACCATACGATTCTAAAATGTAATGTGACCATTATAAAGTCCATATAACACTTTTATGAAAATACTTTTGTAACTCAGCCCAGCTTTAATATCATTTGCTGAAAGTAACTTTAATATCTTCTGCCTAAGCCGTGGTATATAACTAATACGTTAAGTAACTTATTACAGCTTCGGTTCCGTCTAAATAATGTTGCTCTTAGCGAGGAAGCAAAGTTGGGTTCATGCTATGATTATTGGAGTTAATATTAGTTTCGCGGGAATTAATACATAAAAACCAGACGTAACTATGGTTACAAAATTAAAAAGTTTAAATTCTGACCTTGTTCTACTATTTTTATGGGATATCAGAATTAATGTCAACGCACATTTGGAAATATTTATACATACATTGAAATGTCGGTCGGCAGTCTGTTTATTTTTCTTCTTTTATGGTCAAACAAGGGGCCACCTGATGGCAAGCGTTTCAAAAGGGCTGGCAGACTTTTAGATAAGAACAAGCGCCTTTCATAACGTTTAAATAAATATTCGAATTAGATTGCTAGCCCCGCCTTTGCACGGGTAGACAATAATTCATACCGTTAGGTTAATAATTAAATGTTAATTTGTCCATTCTAATCACGTGCATGTCTAAATATACTGTCATTTCTCTTAGGTTAGAAGAAAAGTTTTAATTTCCAGTAAAATGTTAAATACTGTTATTCTTTTTATTTTATTTTATCTATGTTAAAAAAGTAAAATAAATACAATAAATGAAATAAATGAAACTCATCAATTACTAGTTTAAAATTATCCCCTAGCAATCAAAGAAAAGAAATTTCAGGCAAACCTCCACAGCGAGAAATCGGCAAACGTAATTAAGTGTCTCGTTCTTCGCGCTCGAAATGATTCGGGGGACGCCTTTCAGGTTTGAATAAATAACTTCAAGCTATCATTATTAAAATTGCGGGCGAGAAATGATAATGAACTATCCCACCTAGTTTTACCGGTGGTTCCTTAACGAAACTGTTTCGGCTTGGGAGCTAATTATTTGTTAATGTATTACATTGTCATACTGCCATTAAAGTCAGTCTCTAAACCGATCCAGGAAATACTTCTGCCTCACAGAAGATTGTCTTGGATTGCATTTCGACTGACAGATGAATAAAGTGGGGCCTGACCTTATAAAGGATGCAAACTCCTCTGCAACCACCTGTGTTGTCCGTGGTCGGTAGTTATCACTTAACATTTGGTGACTCACCTCACGTGAAATAAAATCAAGTGCAACCATGGCAAAGGCAGGCACTTGAAACAGTAAGAGTTATTGCATTTATTGCACCCAACGCGGGTATCATGAGACGTCAGTATACCCGCATAGAGTGCTAAACTAACACACAACGTATAATTAGCTCGTATTCGCCTTCGAGGACAGCGAAACCAACACAACGCTAAACAAGGTACAGGTAACCAAGTTCCAGGGTGGTTCTCGCCGCCCCGAGCCACCAATTAATACAGTTAATGACCAAGGTCCGTAACGAACCATAGGTGCTCATAGGTGACATATCTCCCGTTTAAAATAATGTGCGCAAGTGCCGTATCCTAACGCCCGGTTTGTAAAATACTGATCAACACAGAAATTCAATAATCAGTTGTCAAATGGCAAAGATCAAAATGGAAGAAGGTGTTAAACTCTATGAATTGATCACAATGATCAATTCAAGGACTTTAACCATCCCTTTCGCAACTCAAATGACATTTGACAACGGGTTAGTTAATTTCTACGATGATCAGTGCTTCAGAATCCGGGCGTAAGTACTGAAATTACGAACGTCCATTAAA